GGTCAGGATGCATTCACCCTGTACTTTGGGCCTAGTAAATTCTGAACTGGACTGATTTGTACTTCTCCCCCAAAAAAACTCCTCCTGTTGCCCCCGCCACTGGTGCGGCCTGGTTGATCCCCGTCGTCGCTGGTGCACTGAAATTCTGTGCTAGCATTAACACAACCCAGAAACTAGAATTAATTAAATAATTGATGAAATGAGTACCCAGTTGTGGATTGTGAAAATGTTGCTGGTTTGCTGTCTGAGCAGTGCGAGACAGAGATCTGACGAATCCGTTGTAAAAATAATTAGCTTTCTCTTTTTTCGAATAAGGGACTCACCGAGCTTGGAGATTTAAAGGATGTATAGATGACATCATCCCATGATCGATCGACGAGGAGCATAGAATATGATGAATCAGCGCTGGCTAGGCTTAGAGGAAGTGGGCGAAGCCCTGACTCGCCACCCTGAGAGCTAGCGCCAGGAACAAACGACAACGATATCACCATTCCAACACCGCCTCTCGAAAGAAGTAGCTGCTGTTGAAGGGCCAACGTTTTGGTAGCTAGTGAATTCCTGCTTATCTGGTTCTGACGAAGCAGTGAGGCGAGCAGCATGGAATTGTTGAAACCGTACTGAAGGTTTTCCGATTGCGATAAGAGGTTTCGCCTTTCGCCTTTCGCCTTTCGCCTTTCTCCTTTCTCGACGTGTGCCGGTCCGACTACCGATGGAGTGAATATTCTGAAGGTTTTTCGGCTGCCGATGGAGTGCGCCAGTCTGGCAACCGATGGAGTGCACCGGTCTGTGGATGAGAGGTTTTCCGGCTGCCGATAGAGTGCGCCAGTCTGCTGGAAATTGTACTAAAGGTTTTCCGACGAAAGGCGAAAGCTGATGGGAGAGAAGTTCGAAGAAATTCAAAATTTTAAAATGAGTTTCATTTTTTTTTGTCTTTTAATGTCGATTCAATCAAACAGATAGAAGTTAACGGCAAATGCCTGTTATATTGAGGTTGTTCAAGGGTCCTTTGAATCCGGACTCACATGCAGGCCAACCTGACTCACCTATACTAAATAGGTAGGTGAACTCAACTGTCATGAGTATAACGCCATATATATCATGTTCCCTACCACAATCATCTAGAGAGATCACATCAGCACCCCACAGGAGCCGCCCTATCACATGCACATCTCAGCCTCCATTAACAACATCTTCCATGGTGCGCGTTATTCCTAGCTGAAAGGTGATTTCAACTCCAATTTGGCGGTGAATTGGACCGATTTACAAAATAGTGGATTAGAGAACTCGGGGTAATTAATCCAGCAAAGTCGCTCTGAGATGCTTAAGTCAGTACTTATGCTATAAATGTGAGCTAAATGCTTAAGAGCTTGAGTGCTAGTGAGTAGAATAATCACGTGTACCTTGTATCATCGCGGTTAGTGCCTTTATATAAGTATTGTTTGGTGTAGGCTTCGCACACCATATTCGAGATTTTCGGGAGGTCGTGCCTTATCGGTCCAAAATCCTTGGAGGTAACCGCTATGCACATTGACCATCCTCCGGAACATTCGGTACGCGGACCAACTTCAGAGAAACCTGGGAGTGTTGGGGTATGCATGTCGAATTTGTTGGTGAGCACATCTCGCAGGTCACCGCCAGGTCCTCAGTTAGGTCGGCAAGCCCTCGAAAGAGGTCGTGCCTCGCGTCGAGGTCACTTTAGCTAGTGACGAGGTGCTACAGGTTGGCCCTGGACGAGGTGCTGCAAGCTGACATAAGTTGTGGTCGAGGTTGCCAAGTCAGCGATAATGGCAGGTCATCAGGTTGGGGCGAAGATGAACTACGATCTAAGACTCCAAATCATCGCTTAGGTGGCATCTGGGTGTCATCCAACTGTTTCGGAATGCCATGTGTCATGTGGTTATTGGAGGGCCAAATCCGCCCTCATCAATTGCCCCCCACTCCCGAGCTGAGGCCAACTTGGCGAAGGGAGTAGATTGTTCCTTTGGCTCGGAATGACTATTTGATGAGCTCATAGTCGTTGGCTTCAATCTAATTTGCTCCTCAGGTAGGAAGAGTCAAAGTGTTTGCAACTTTATGCAGGACCTCGCAGTCTTGATTATTGGGGCACAAGAGCAAATTCATCCGCTCGAGGAGAGGTGGAACAGGTACTCCGAGGACATCTACCTTATTAGGGATGCGGCCATCAAGGGGTTCTGCAATCCGACTAAGTACCTCAAGAGCAAATCTCATCATGTCATCCTCAAGACGGGGTTCTGTGTGACTGCTTTATCAGGTTGCTCCACCTAGGTAGACTTCGATGCAGTATCCCTCAAGCTGATTCTCAAAAGAGTAGCTAGCGAATTCGATGCAGAGCCTGAAACCGAGGTGGAGGTTTACTGTGAAGAGATCGGCCAAGTTTGTGTCTGTCATGGTCTAGTCTTTCCTTTGTTTCTCTTTCTTGTGCTGAATTAGTCTTCCTTCCTTCGCTTATTCTTTTGTCTTTCTTCTTCTGCACACCGATGAGGCTGAGGCGGAACGGTATGTACCTGACCTGTCTGCACACCGATGGGGCTGAACGCGAACTGCTTTTTTATTCCACCTATGCCGAAGAGGCGACTGGGTCTTATGTTGTCCATGCTGAAGAGGCGATTGGGTCTTAAGTTGCCCATGCTGAAGAGGCGACTGGGTCTTATTCATGTTTAGCACCGAGGTCACTATTTGTTTGGCACCATGGCCCTTAGGCTCTTGGAGTGACTCATAGTCCACTCCCCATAATATTATTTAGTCGATGTACGGCCTGACCTCTCCTTCTAAGCAGGTGGTCATTCTTTATTAACTTCTCATATGGATGCTTCTACGTCACCCGGTGGGATTATCTTCATGGGTGAGTGCTTGCGAGACCACAACATACATGTTTTGCTCCCCCCTTGTGAGGGCTGTTGATACATAAAGTTGTTGTCGGCGTGAGTCGGCAGTTCGGGGCCACGGCTGCACTGCATCAGCCTCATAGTGACGCCGGTCATCCACTCCTACAAGAAGCCACTAGGAGCTCGACATGCGGGGACAACACTACTGACTTTAGGTCGCCAGCTCGCATGGGAGCCTTGGAAGGCTCAACTTGCAAGGGTGTCCATGCAGTCCGTTGGCCGTCATCTCCTATTGGAGCCACGAAGAGCTTGACTTGTAGAGGCGACCTCGCGAAACGGGGCTGATGAGGCCTCGTCTTGGCTGATTGCTATTGAGGATGAGTTGAGGTCATTTGTTGCTATCTGCATCGGGCTTCTCCTATGCTCAGATATGGAAATTCATGCTACATCTCATAGAATTTCCACGCTTCAATCCCGTCGGGAACTACTAATAGCTTTAACGTGGGGAGAGGGGGGTTCACATGTGGTAGCGGTATATTTATCTGAGGCACTGGGAGTGCTGGGTTCGGCCTAAATTTGTCTGATTGTCATAGGGTAGTTCTCAAGGTTTATCACAGATGTTCTTGCCCCCAAGTAATTGATATTCGTTTTGGATGCTGGTGCTGCTCAAAAATGCTTTTTAGTTCATAAAAAATGAAAATTAGAGAGTGAAAACTTGAATTTTTAAAAGGCGAGATCTTAGCTTTCTGGAAGATGAGGACTTAGCTTTTTAGAATGTGAGAACTTAGCTTCTTGTAGCGTTTCCCACAGACGGTGCCAATTGATGGTGTGCAATCTGGCTACTTCTAGCTGGAAGGAGATCCGAACTCCAATTGGGCGATGAGCTGGACCGATCTGCAAAGCAGTGGATCAGAGAACCCGGGGTAGCTAACCCGACAAGGTCGCTCCGATGCTTAAGTCAATACTTATGCTATGAATGCGAGCTGAATGCTTGAGAGTTTGAGTGCTAGTAAATAGAATAATCACGCGTACCCTGTGTCATTGTGGTTGGTTCCTTTATATAGGCATTGTTTGGTGTAGGCTTCGCGCATCGCATCCGAGATTTCTGGGAGGTTGTGCCTTACCGGTCCGAAATCCTCGAAGGTAACCACTATGCACGTTGACCATCCTCCGAAACATTTGGTACGTGGGCCAACTTCAGGGAAACCTGTGAGTGTCGGGGTATGCATGCCGAATTTGTCGGCGAGAATATCTCGCAGGTCACCACCTGCTCCTCAGTTAGGTCGGCAAGCCCTCGAGAGAGGTCGTGTCTCGCATTGAGCTCACTTCGGCCAGTGGCGAGGTGCTATAGGTGGGCCCTGGACGAGGTGCTGCAAGCCAACCTAAGTTATGGTCGAGATCGCCAAATCAATACTAAAGACAGATCGCCAGATCAGGGTGAAAATGAACTACGATTTGGAACTTCAAATGATCACTTAGATAGCATCTGGGTATTGTCATGATCAACCCTATTGGAGGGCCATTAGCCCTCATCAACCCTCGTGTACCCTCTGGCATTATAATAAATTTAGAACGAAGTGGCTTTTTCTCCATCTACGTATACTTACACTTACTATTAATTGCAGCAGTCTGCTAGCATCCAATAAAGTACCGATAAGAAATCAACCCATGCACCTGAATCCAGATTTCCTCACCACATAGTCCTCTTCACACCCATCTCAATTTGTAATTGTAATTCGGAGGTGTTATATCAATGCACGACTGCGATGTGCTGTGTAAAGTTGGTGTGAGGAGTAATTTGGTTTCGCTTGGGAGGAGCATTAGGTGGGTGTGTGGAGGAAATCCGAAATCTATGTACCTAACCAAGGTTTTATGTCTCTTTTCCTCGACTGCCATAAAATTAGATTAAGGGGTGTAACTTGGGTTAGATGTTGGCAAGTAGCATTATTCTACAAAGGGTTTCTTGCAGATAAGGGCAATTTTTTGCCCTGAATACCAATAAAAAATAATTTCTTTTTAGAAAAATATCAAAAGAGGGTAAGAATATTGTTCATCGTCTTCTCTACCTCTGTATTCATGCGAAAAAATGTGTGCAATGGCTCCACTTTACTTTGCGAAAAAAAGGTGGCGTATCGTTTGGTGAAGTGGTGGAAGATGTTTACCCGGGAGCAACGCTCCGGCATCAATCGGTTCGTAATAAAGGAAACTATCCCCAAACCCCAATTCTTTTGCCCAGTTGCATGTTTAGCTGCAATTGGGCTTAAGAAGAAAGCATTGCGCCAGATTCCGGTAGTAGTGTATGGATCGGGATCGGGGAAGAGTATTCAGGCCACCGAGTTAGGAGAGTTTGTGGACGGTGATAAGATACGCGTCTTCCCTAAATGCAGCCATGGGTTCCATGTCAAGTGCATAGATACATGGCTGGTGGCACACTCGTTGTGCCCTACTTGCCGGCATTCATTGCTGGACCGCCCAACAACATCTGATGCAGAAGATGCCGATGAACGAGTTAGGCCGCCAGAAGGTGGGTCCGGCCGACAGGGTGGCATCATAGTAGTTGTAAGCTTGTAGCGCAGCCGAGTTGATGGTGTTGATCGGAGCTGAGCTGTCAACATCTTTGCACCCCTGTTTGTCCCCCCCAACTTGACCCTTCCCCGGTGACTCCCACACCATTTTCATGCCAGAGAATGCTGGTGACGTCTGCCGGAAAACCCTCCCACCTGCGGGAGATCTGATCCACGTCGGTGTATTTGATGTTGTCACCGTCGTTGTATCCAATACATTGAAATTCGATGTGCGTGGTGTTGGCTAGAGGGAGTAGGCGTCGGATGATGCGGCATACCCGGATAGCCGGGGGCTGGCTGCCGGATTATTCCTCCGGCGTAAATATCTTCCACCACTTCACCGAACCATACGCCACCAACATGGCAAAGTAGAGTGGAACCATCGCACACATTTCTTCGCATGAAGACAGAGGCAGAGAAGACGATGAACAGTATTTCTGCCCTTTTTGTAATATCTTTCTGAAAAAGTTATCTTAATTATTTTATAAAAATATTACTTTTTATTAATATTCAGGCAAAAAGTTGCCCTTATCTGCAAGAAACCCTTCTACAAACAACGAATAAAAGATTCCAATCTAAAGAACGTAAAAGCAGGACATAGAGGGCATGCAAGGAATGAAAGCTCACTGCTAACACAAGCTGGACTACGAGTCCACATCTGCTTCTGTGACGACCGTCGGATTATAATTTTACGAAGCACAAACAAGTAGCTTCCGTCTGACTACTAACAAATGGCTTCTGATTTCTGAAGAATTGAAGCTAAGTATTTATTTCAAAGGAAGTTGCAGTCAATGCCAAACGTCGAACTTCATCCACAAAAGCTTGGATATTCCGGTGGGAGGATCCACCGTTGGCCACCGCTTTCTCTGCTGCCTTCTTCCATTTTAGGGCGTTTTTCTTCGCCTCTTCTGTCTTAGGCCCTCGCGCTACTTCGAGAATGCATCTTTCCACTGTTTCCCTCGAAATCAATTGGCTGTCTCTGTCGCTCCGTCCCATGAGCGATCCTACTCCATACTTGTCAACCAAGAACTTTGCGTTGGTCACCTGATCACCCCATTGGGGGAAGGCGACCACAGGCACACCGGAGGTCAGGCACTCCATAGACGAATTCCACCCGCAGTGGGTCACAAAGCAAGCAACCGATGGATGTGCGAGCACTTGTTCTTGTGGACACCATTCTACCACCATCCCTTTACCTTGAGCTTTATCCATGAACCCAGCTGGTAGTCCTGTGTCGGTGGCTATCTCTTTTGCTGGTGGCTTCACCACCCATAAGAAGGGCAACCCGGTTTTCAAGAGCCCCCAAGCCATCTCCTCCATCTGGTCCTTAGGTAGAAAGGCGATGCTGCCGAAGGAGATGTACACGACCGAGGACAGCGGTTGAGAGTCGAGCCACTGTATGCAGCCCTCTGCGGCAGTCCAGAAGTCGCCACGAACGCCGTTGGAGGAGTTACTGCTGCTTCCTTTTAGAGATCTAAACAATGGACCAATGGTTCTTAACGGCGGCAGAGACAAATGAGACATGGCTTCAATAACTTCATGTTCGAGCTCTTCGAACGAATCGACCAACACATAGAATGATTTCGAGAGGTTCTGGAACTGGCCCAGGATCAAGTTCCCAAGCATGTGGTAGATAGTGGAGGGATGCAAGAAACTGGGTACCTCATGGGAATTTAAAATTGGCAGCCCAGGTAGATGGACAGAAAGATGGGGTTCATCTACGGATGGGAAACGAGCCAAACGATGGAAATAATAGTAATAAGTAGAGAAGACAGCACAGGATTGAACCCATAAAACGGCACAAGGGATGCCGAAATCGGTGGCCACGTCCAACGCCCACGGTACAAAAGCATTATTTACGAGACAAGAAACGGGTCGACCCTCTTCAGCTTGTTTCTTTACAAGACAAGTGAAGGATTCTTTTCCGACGGTCTCAAGTCGATGCAGCAGGCCATCTATGTCTTGGCGTTTGGAGTTGTCGTCAGCAGGCCATCCGTCAGAGAAGAATTCGAATCTGAGCTGCCCTTGGCCTATGGGTGTTGCGCTACATGTGCCTGGGATGTTGGTGGCTTTTTTCATCATGTGGCCTATGGATTCAGTGGTAGAAAAGGTGACCAATAGACCTTCTGAAGCCAGCAGCTTAGCTAACCTTAGCAGGGGATTGACATGCCCTTGGCCGGGGAACGAGACCACGAGGACGTGAACCATCTTCATTTTCTTTGCTCACCGGCTGGCCGCTGCCAACCTGACTAGTCTTTTACTCTTTGGTCTTTGAGTTTGGAAAGAATACAAATGCAAATTTGTAGAGTATAAAACCTTATATTTTGTATTATTTTGTATGTATCTACGCTGTACATATTTGCATTTGCATTTGCATTTTGTATATATTTAAGTTTTTAGATGCAGTTATGGCTGCCTCTATAGATGAATTTTCCAGGTACCTAAAAGTATTCTTACAATCTCTTTCTTAAGGTATTTCCTCTAAGCCATTAGAACCTTATCATGTTACCCCACTCCCCAATCAATTCCTAAAATCTCTCCCCCAATCTATATCCACTTTCTCTCATTTAAAATATTCATATTAATTAATAAATAGTTAAATACAGTTAATATTTAATCCAACCTATATTCAATTAGTATTAAATAGTGTTATTACCAAAACTTAATAAATACGGCTAATAAATTACCAAAAATTAATAAATACTATTATTAATATAACTTATCACTACTTTTTAAACTATTTTGGGTAAATACTATTATATTCATATTAATTAACAACATTTTATAGAAATTGAAAACTCTTTAACTAATTCCTATAAAATTGAGAATTACATTTAACAATGTTAGCTTTTTTCTAATGTTAATTATTAGTGATTGTTAATTATTAGTGAAATTAATAAAAATATTAGCTTTTTTCTAATTATTATCATTTCATTACTATAAATGATTAATAAGATTAAATTTATTAAAAAATTTATTCATATTAAATTAACAATAATTACTTTCTATAAATCAACATTAAATGAAAAATACAATTTATTAAAATTTTAAATATTAACAATAACTTTGAATACTTTTAGTTAATTAATAGCTATTTTTTATTATTAATTTATCAATTAATTAATAATAAAGAAAATTATTCAATCTTTCAAATTTTCTCGTGCATCGCATGAGTCCCTACTAGTGTATATATATATAAGACGGACGACGTCACCATACCTCTCCTTGTTCCATTACCCCCACTCTATCTTCATTTTCTAATTAACTAGCTCAATATATTTTACCTAAAATCTCTCTCTCTACAATTCACTTTTCTCTCTCTCTCTCCCTAAGATCATTCCTAACCCATTGAAATGTCTACTTAATAAAAACATTCCTAAAATCTCTCTTTATCCCCTCTCTCCTAAAACCTCTCCACACTCCTAATTTATTATTCTTAAAACTCTCCTAAAGGTCCTAATTCCTAAAAAATCTCTCCTCATTCCTAAAATATTGTTCATAACCAACTTTTTTTAACTCTTAACAAATACCTACTTCCCTACTTCTAATTAAGACACCTCTCTCTCTCTCTCTCTCTCTCTCTCTACCGGTTAGTTGGGCTTCGCTCTACCGGTTACCTCTTCTCTTTCTTTGCTAACCCTGCATTTGTAATGCTGGCTTCGGTGTTGTAAGGTATCTCTATTTTGCTCTGAATGATGGGGTGAGGTGGATCGGGGGTCCTTCTTGCCAGTTCTTCTTCGTCGCGAGACCAGTGTTAGTTGTTGCGGGGTGCCGAGGGGTCTACTCTTGAGCCCGCACCTCAGGCCCTAAGCTAACGATCTACATTCTCCTACTGCAGAAGTTGTTGATTATTCCTCTCAGGCTGTCTGATCTCAAGTATGTCCTTTTGGTTCCCCCTTTGAGAGACTGGAGGAGTACACCATTCATCTACTCTGCCCCGAGGTGGGGTTCGTCCCCTGGGAGGGACCAGTACCTGTGAGGTTCTCTTGCCCCGTGGGGGAGATTGACGGATGTTCTGATGGGCTCAGTGCTGGTTCTAGTTCTGGGTCTGCCCTTGATATTGATCCATTGGCTGGTTCGCCTGCAGCGGTGGGAACTACTGCAGGTACTACTGGTAGAAATAATATTGCTAGAATTTCTAGAACTGGTGAATCTGTTGCATCTGGATCTGCATTGTTCGGATGCTCTGAACAAGGTCGTTAAACTGGGAATGCCCGACCCCAGGGAGATCATGGAGGGCTCCAAGAATGTGGTGGTCACTTGGGGGAGTGGGACATTAACCTGTTGGGTGGTCTGTGGCACAAATAGTGATGGGACCCCCAAAGCTGTCAGGGGGATAGTGAACTAACCGATGGTCACCGAGGAACCTTGGGGAATGGTTGTTTGTTGCTCTTGCCCCCGGTGACATTCATGTCGAAGCCCTTTTCCGATATTGCTAGAAGATGCCATTGAGAGTGAGATTCAGACTGAGACCGAGATTGAAATGACCTTTCGATCGTATTCCCAAAGACGGTGCCAATTGATGGTGTGCGATTTAGATGCTCCTACTTGTAGGGCAGCTTGGACATCTGTCGCCAAGTAGGTCGCTTGAACTATAAAGAAAGGTATCAGAGAAACC